ATGTTATAATATGAGTCAAACTTTACGAAGTCAAGAAATAATGTAATTATGTTAAATTTCTTCATATACGTCATTAAAATAAATAAAAAATATTATTAAATTACTTTTTGCATTTTTTAAAGAAAAATATTAGCAGATTCTTTTTGTAAATTTACTAATATTTGTTTTACCATTCCAAACTAAGCTCTAGGCTTGTGCTAGGATATGGTTTACAACAATAGTCGAATGACGGGATTCGAACCCCCAACCTCGTGATCGGAAATCCGTACCCTTAACCATTAGGCTATTGACGCTTGAAACATTTCTTTTACATTTATAATGTTAGTATGTAGGAAGATATGGATTGCACCCACGATTCCGTCCACGCGAGATTAAAAACCAACTTAGTAACCTATGTGTTCTTCTAGGCTATGTTCTACATCTAAATTAAATTTCACCGAAATCCATGCCACCGTTCTGGACTTCTATCTTCTAACAAACATCCATCCATCCAAACATTCACATTTATAATACAAGATTTGAATAAAATTTCATAAAATAGTAAAAATTGTGTTAAAAATATAAAGCGCCGATAATCCGATGAATCTAGTGATGTTATCTCGTTGGCTTAATGTCCTGCTGTGACATTTGCGTAATGCAAGTTATTGAGTCATCAATCATTCGTCTCTGAGAGGCGGCGATCAATGAGATGAAAAATTAAGTGATAAAAACCTATTGCGGACGTTTCAACCTAATGAGGTTGTAAGTAAAAATAAATTTATTTTTAAACTATCTCATTTGACCTATGTACATCTTTGCGTTTTAAAAGTGATATCACATTTATGACCGATGACCTGGTCAAGGTTTCGGGAGTGCACTGGATGCGGGCGGTACAGGACCGAGCATTGTGGCAATCGATGGGGGAGGCCTACGTCCAGCAGTGGACAAATTTAGGCTGAGTATGATAATCACATTTATTGCTTTTCCTTCTCTCCTCCTCCATCCACCGTTTCCTTTTAAAGAAATGATAGAAACGTGAGGTGGATTTGATGTAAGAGTTTAAGAAAATCTTCATTCTACATACCCCCTTTGTTCTATGGTAGGCAACGCATAAGCAATTATTCTACTTGTATGTCTATGACCAACGAACACTTCGCCTTTTTAGCGAAAACATCTGACAGGTGGCTAAGTAAGTAATACAAAAGTTTGATATCGAGTATCTCTTGCATAAAAAAATATTTGTTATTAACATTTATATTTCTGTGTTTTTGTTTACTATTTAGTGGTAAAACACAAAAAGCATTTCTCGCACAAAAAGAACATTCATGCGAAAGAAGAATTTGAAGCCATCAAATCAGTGGTCAGAAATATCAATCGCTTGGAAAAGTTGACGTCGGACCGGCTAAGTCATAAATAAAGTAGATGAAAACTGTCCGTCCAACTACGACATCAAATATTTTGTAAATCTATGTACGAGGATATGCGGCTTATTGAATTTGAACGAAGCTTAGTACAAAATCATGTTAATAAAGTTCACATTTGTCTGACCATAAAGTATATAAAATTTGAATATGACATATAACAGTGGTAGAGCCCGCTTTAACATCTTCGCACGAATCGACCCGGCTCGCCCGGTGAAATACCACGACCACACAGAAGACAGGCGTGAAGTGGAAGCAATTCCGCGTTTCGTCTGATGAGTGTGCGTCCCGGAGGCCTAATTTAGTCCACTTTCCCTCTTCACCCCTTTTCTTATAAGGAAAGGATGGGAAGTGGAAGTGGACTTTCCGGATGAGAGGATGCATGGGAAGGGATATTTTCTTTCTGTGCATCCTCTCCTCCGTCGATTAAAGGTAGGCAACGCATAAGCAATTGCGTATGTCTATGGGCAACGGTCACTTCGCTATTTCAGCGATTACAGGTGGCCGCTCGCTAGTCACCTTATGATATAAAAAACAAAAAAAAATAGCGTAGCAGTGCATTATTATGATGACTAGTTAGCAACTAGCTGATGATGGAGATGGAAGGTGGCCATAGGAATTTCGCAATGAAATGACACAGTCTTTGAGTTTGGGCTCATTTAAACCGTCTTAACTAATAGTTCTTTAAAAAAAAAAACGTAATAAAAGCTCATTTAAAAAATATTTTAATTTAAATTATTATTTTTCAGAAAAAGTTCGGATGTAATTTGATTTATGAAAAGCTTCTTTGATGTGCAAAAGTTCTTATTTGATTTGTAAGATTTGTAAAAGTCCGAACTTAAATCTAAAGCTATAAAGATATCTTAACCTCTTTAACAAAATACAAAACTACGTATGTTACTACGTAATGTATTTTAAGGTTAGTCGTATAAAACTACTTATTTACTCATCAATCATACGACCCTTTGAACGCAGGAGCATTGCCTTCGCTTAATGCTTATGGTTGAATCTTAAATATACAAAGTATTAAGTACATAAAATATTTTTTAGCAAATAGAATCAACACACGAGTTCCGTCATCTGACGACACGACAGACCGCCAGGTTCCATCCACACCACATGGATGGCTGGCATTCCACAACGGTGCGATTCTCGAGCAATTTCTTGCTTCGTACAGCCTCGCTGTGGAACGGTCTGTCCACGGCGGTATTTCCAAACCAATACGACTTGGGGACCTTCAAGAAGCGAGCATACCATTTCCTTAAAGGCCGGCAACGCATCTGCATATGTCCATAGGTGTCGTTTATCACCTCGGTGATTCTGTTATAAAAAAAAAAAACATACGAAATATTCGATAAGTTTAAATCTTCTTGAACTGGGTTACAGATGAAAGCAGCTTTGAAAATTCTACAATTTTATTTACAAGTAATTTTCATGAATAAACAAAAGTCGCACAAGATAAAGCAGATCGTCAAAAAACCGAATAGATGTCAAAATATAATACTCTTATTAATATTATAAATGCGAAAATTTACATGGATGGATTTGGCATAGATGTAGAAAATAGTATAAAGAGTCGCATAGGCTACTAAGTAACTTTTTTAACACCGCGGCACACCGTGGCTGCAACCATGTTTAATATTTTTCAATATATTCGTTGAATTTAAAATTTTATAAACACTGTCACTTCTAGAAAATGAACATTCATATTTCAAGGGCCTCAACCGAAGCGTGGAAAGCAAGTACTAACGAAATAAAACTTTCTTTGAACGTCGCAATCAATGGCGAAAAGAAAATTGAGAAAGTTCTATTGGAATCGAACATTTTCTTTATCTTCAAAATTATTTCTTCTCTCTGAAAAAGGCTTCTAACAACTTTAAGATATCTGTCGTGATAGAAGGACGCGCTAAATGTTTGAAGAAACCCAATAAAAATGGGGTAAACAATTCCACGTAAAAACTAAACTTTTGAAATAATATGTTACATACATAAGAAACATTCTAATTTGTGTCAAACATTTTATGTGTACATAATATAATATACTCCTTAAGTTGTAAGGAAAACATACTAATTTAAGATGCGAAATGAGATGGACTTTGCAAGGCTTGGGACGTTTAGGAAGAGGAATACTATTTCTATACTTCTCCACTACTGTCAATATTATTTACTATTTAATGACATAAAACCAGCTGCGTTTTTATCAATAAGTTCTTTACATAATATGTTTTGTTTTTTTCGGTGGGCCTAGCACGAACATTTCTGACAAACACAATCGTATTGTCATCGACAGTATTTGTGTGAAGCAAAACCCTATTGAACGTCAACTACACCAAAATCTCATACTATTTTGACATCACTGACGTTCACGATTCGAAGGCACTTGTCGCAAATATTGCCTAACTTCAAATTCCAACGCAAAAGTTATCAAAAACAACTGAACACATTTACATCGCATACGTATGACACTGGAGAAATAAATTAGGAGCTTAAATAATACAAAAACAATTTTTCTTAGTCAAGATAGCCTACGTCTCGGACGATAAACAAAGTCTAGACCTGTTATCGCGTGCCTTAATGCTTCGCGACATTTGCGTAATCCAACTTATTGTGTCATTAATCATTCCATTCTTGAAAGTCTAAAGCTATCCTTGGATATCCAAATTCTGTTATATGTACCCAATCCATGAGCACAATCCATAACAGTTAATAAATAGAATATAAAAATGAATAAGATCCGTACTTCTGTATGATGACGTATGAATTTCTCTATTTATTTTCGATAATATTAGTCAATTTATCGTTGGTTGGTCTAAGGTCAATATCATTGTATAAAACAGAAATAACAGTGTATTTTAAACGAGGATTTTTGTCTTAGAAACCCACGGTTAGATACTCAATGTACATTGAATTATATTGAGAAAAATATTGATAATCATCTGATGAATAAGGATAATAATTGCGATCAGATGGGTTCAGAAACATCTGATTGTTTTATATATGTAACAAATAAATTTAATTTATAATAATATTGTTATCGTCAATATCAGGCGAACTTTATTAAGCTTCAATTATTATTGGGCCCTCTACAAAAGGTTCCTCAATCGAGTTTCACTCTCGAGCGAGCAATGAACAAAGTTAAAGGGCCCGATTCTACAAATACTTGGAAATATTTCTCTGAAAATTGTTGGACTGGATACTTCATACGAGTGGCTTCTTACCAGTTTCCGGTCATATTATGAAGTACCTATTGACTTTAAGACAAAATATTATAAAATAACTAGCTGTCGCCCACGACACCGTGTGCGCAGAATTAAAAAAAAATACTATTTAGTAGCCTATATGGTCTTAAAGACTATGTTTTACATGTAAGCCAAACTTCAGCAATATTCACTGAACCTTTCTGGAGATACCTTTAAGGAAAAATCCATGCATCCATCTAAACATTCTCATTTGTAATATATATTATATAATTAGTAATGCAATAAAGGGAACCCAGCTGTTAAAATACATTCGAATTCAAAAAGTAAGAGGTTTTAATTCGTTTTTGTGTGTGTGTGTGTGTGTGTGCGCGCGTAACTTATAATAAGTTTAAGTACTTACCTTTGATTTACTGTTTATTAGACTGGAATCTGTAAAGAAATAAAAATAATTTAGTATAATTTTTGAAATTTCATATATAAAGAAGGTCTATTGACGACATTTTAGTAAACAATAAAATATAGTTATCCCACTCATGCGGATTGAAGTAACAGAGACAACGATATGTTTATCTTTAGTTGTTTACGCAGTGAAAACTAACAGACTGGCTGGAAATAATCGTCACAGTAATACTTAAAGTGAAAACTTTTTACTCTTTTAAGGAAATTGTGCGAATCGATGAACGTGATTATTGAAAAAAAATAGTTATGAAATTACGTACGAATTTCGACCAATAGGCGACCTATTGATTATAAAAAGCATAAGAAATAAAAACAAATCATAAATTTAGTGTTCCCATCCATTTGTCGCGTTCTCTATGTATTAAAGTTTATTGTTTCGCCGACGCGAATGCAACAAACAATAAGTATATTGTGCAAAGATAAATGCACTGTCTAGGGATATGAAACGCTTTAAAGTAGAAACACTTTGAAATATTGCTACTGAAATTGGCTTTTATCGTATTTGAAAGAACTTAATTGCTTTTAATATTATTCAGGTTGAGATAATGGCATTCTAACATGAATTACGACTTTTGGGATATGTAGAAAATGTGAATAAATTTGCATATCAAGTTGCTTTTTTGTTTTATTGTTATTTGTTTATTATAAGAAGAAAAAAAAGGTTTTTTTATAAATCTTTTCTCTCATACCATTATCATATCTTACTAATATTATAAATGCTAAAGTTTAGATGGATGGTTGGATGTTTGTTTTATCTCCAGAATGGATGTTGCTGAAATTTGCCATACATATAGAACATAGCCTGGAAGTACACATAGATTACAATTTTATTTATTCCGCGCAGACGAAGTCATGCGACACAGCTAGTATTTTTATAAATATAAGTAATTGTGGCTTATGTACTCAAGACGGGTGTAAAGAGCTACTCTTAAGTACAAAGTAAAGATATTAGAAATAATATATTTATGAAAATGCGACAATATAAAATATTCTTTAATTTCTGAAAGTTTAATTTCTAATCTGAAAACGAGTTTTTTTCTTCAATCACGATTCTGAATGTTGCAGACATCTTGAACGTCAACTCGAGGGAGGTCGGGTTAATTTATTCCATGTCTCTTGACCCGTGCATTCGACGAACTTCCAATAACCTTGTTATGGTATTAGTAATATATTCCATTAAAAGTTTGTTCTAAATATAATATAAAAAAATAAACTTGATATGTTTGCATTTTTGTGTCGCTTCACTTTGTTTCGTTTCTGACAGTGAAAAAATGTAGTACGAAATGTATAAGAATTCAATGAAACATTTAAATTCGTTTCTCATTTGAAACTTATGTAGAATTTAACGATAGTAACAAATTAGGCATTATTCATGACTAGCTGTCGCCCGCGACTCCGCGCGGTATTAAAAAATCTCAATAAGTAGTCTATTTGGTCTTCCTGAGTATGTTCTACATCTATGCCACATTTCAGCGATATCTGTTGAACCGTTTCGGGGATACCTTCAAACAAACAAACATTCGTCCATCCATCTGAATATTCGTAAGTTAATTCGTAATTTATAATTTTAGTAAGATGTCCAGAATACCGATAGACAAGTGCTGATAACCTAAATCATTTTGCAATAAATTAAAAACCTTCTATAGAATAGAATATATAGAAGAATAATACTTCCATCTGAGCCATTTAGCTGGCAGTACTTCAAGCTTAGATCGGGTTACACAGAACTATTCAAGTTACTTTGTCCTTGCTTCGCCAGGGCACAGAAAAAAGTTTTCATCGAAATGGATTGTTTAAAAATGATTAAAGATGGATTCTTGGAAATGTTGATCTCGGATTTAAATCAAAGTAAGCTTGTTTTTGTGAAAGAGAAAAAAAAAATGGAAATGAATTCTTAGAAGCTTTCAATTTTCATATAAAATGATAGAATTACGATCTTAAGATTTTTCATACGTTTTGATATAAATTTAAATAAAAGAGTTTTTTTAGAACTTCTAAGAAGGATTTATCCCAGTCATTATTTAACATTTTTTCTCTAAGTTAAGTGATATTTTTAGTAAGATTTATTCCAAACTCTATTACTGGAATCAACATCTTCGCACGACAATTCGTGCGAAGATGTTGATTACAGATTAAAACGGGCATATGCCCGGCTCGCCCGGTGAAATACCACGACCACACAGAAGACAGGCGTGAAGTAGAAGCAATTCCGCGTTTCGTCTGATGAGTGTGCGTTTTGGAGGCCTAATGTAGTCCTCTTTCCTTTCCCACCCTTTTTCTTATAAGGAAAGGATGGGAAGTGGACTTTCCGGATGAGAGGATGCATGAAAATGTTTTCTTTCTGTGCATCCTCTCCTCCGTCGATTAAAGGTAGGCAACGCATATGCAATTGCGTATGTCTATGGGCAACGGTCACTTCGCTATTTCAGCGATTTCAGGTGGCCGCTCGCTCGTTTGCCACCTTATGATAATTCATTCATCTTCCAAACTACGACATATCGGCTTTGGATCTAAATAACATAATTCAGGTAGCTATGAAAAACAAAACTATTGCTGGCAATTGAAACGTTTTCCTTGTAATAGAAGACTATCGAACTGTATGATTTATGAAAGTTCATTAATTACATGGTTTTGACCTGCTTCTATTACTTATTTTACTATTTGTGTCTATTAATGTAATAGTATATAAAATATTCTTATATTTTTACTTGCTTATATGCATAGACAAGACTAGAGCGTCGGTGGCTTAGGGGTCAAGCACTTGACTTGCAATCTGCAGGTCCTGGGTTCGAAATCCGCCATGTACCTATGTGTTTTTCGATTGCCGATTTACATATGTACATTTATCTAACGTTCTTACGGTGAAGGAAAAGATCGTGATGTAACCTGCACATATCTGAGAAGAAATTCAACGATATGTGTGAAGTCAACCAACCCGCACTTGGCCAGCGTGGTTGACTATGGCCTAATCACCCTTAACTTAGGGTAGGCTCCGAGCCCTTCGGTGGGGACGTATAGTGAGCTTATGATGATGATGATGATGATGATATGCAAAGACATGGATTACTTTAAGACGACGAGACAAGTATTACGTTTACGCTAAAATATCTTGGCAGATTAAGGTAATAATTTCTCATTAGAGGGCCGCGTGTAATTTTGTTACAACGTCTTTGTAGCGACCTGGCCACGAACTTTACCCTTTTCTAAAGGCTGCAACCATTAGACGAATCGTGAAATTCTTATGAAATAACTACATGTCGGTGTACTCATAAGGGTAGCTCATTTACTAAGAAAATATAAATAGTTACTATAATGAAGTACCAATGTATGTGCCAATTGATTGACACTCGTGTTTTAAATATTTTTTTACATCACAAGGTGGCAAACGAGCGAGCAGCCACCTGAAATCGCTGAAATAGCGAAGTGACCGTTGCCCATAGACATACGCAATTGCATATGCGTTGCCTACCTTTAATCCACGGAGGAGAGGATGCACAGAAAGGAAATATTTTCCCTATTATACAATAATGTGAATGAATATGTTTAAAACAGAATTAGCAGAAAATTCAATAATAATTGTAGAGAAGATTTAGCTTAACGTTAATAAGTATCTAAATATCTAACCGTAGGTTTCTAAGACCAAAATCTTTGTCCAATATGTTGTATACAGAAACTAGTCTAAGAAACCTAAGTAAGATACAAGAATGGACAATGTTAGAAATTAGATAACATGCAATAAACTGATTGCTAATACATAAGCCTGTGGTAATAGAACTTTGTGGAGAGCACTAATATGTATGACAAAGAGTCTGACAAAACTACATTCCCCTTAACTACCGACTTGATTACTTCGGTCTTTGGTTATGACATGCTCCTAAATGAGTTGCCGGCCAAATGATCACATAATTCCTTTGCAGACCACGATAAATACACTTGTATTAGTTGTAACCGCATTCCACTCGACAGAGTACCTAAATACGTGTTACTACGTGACCAATTAACTTATTTCTTTTGTTTTTCGATCGTTATCAAGCTTTCGTACTAATATTATAAATGCGAATGTGTATATGGATGTTTATTAAAAGGTATCCGAGAACGGCTGCGTGGATCTCGATGAAATTTAACATAGAACATAGCCTGGAAATACAAATAGGTTAATAATCTTTTTTATTTCGGGCAAACGGATTCGCGGGCGGCAGCAATCTAACTAATATAATAAATGAAAAAAAAATGGCTATATGAATGGATGTTTCATACAAGGTATATTTATAACGGTAAAACATAATCTGGAAGAACATATAGGCTACAAATTAAGGTCTTTTAATCATATGCGGACGGAGTCGCGGGCGACAGCTAGTTTTTGTATAAAAATAATGTTACTATAAATTGTTTAAATATGTTGGGGTATATTTAAGTGTTTACTTGAAGCTAACGGTAGTGTCCGATAAGAAAAATGAAGCTTGTATATTGTAGTGAATGTCCAAAACGTGACCCAACGTGGTTTACTCGTAATAGAAAGTGTTTCCGATATCATTATTCAACGGGTTAGTTATTTTATAAGCTATATTTTTAGTGTTACGACACCTAATTGTAATATGAATTTGTTGTAATATAGATATGAGTCGATGTATTTAAAAGAGACTTTCATGTTAACAAATGAAAGGTAAATCCCGTACGAGAATAGACTTAGGTCGTAAAAGTTAAGTTTCAAAGTAAGAGTCATAAAATTGGGGAATCTGCTCTCTGTCATAAAACTGGTATTATTTCCGAATAACTCTTGGCTTATAGAAATAGGTCATGGCTTCTGACACCTTTTCAATATGATGATACCTTTTCAATCTAAGGTCTACGCTGATTCGATTTTTTAACCGATTAACAGGAGGACGGGTTTTTTTGTGACCACTTGGAGCCTATCGATTTTGATTCGATTTATATTACATTCCCAATGTCATATAGTTACAACTAGTAGAGTTTAGTTTTTTTTTAAATATTTTTAATTAATATTATTGTGACTTAAATTTATATGTAGTGTCTTATTTCAATAGTGTAAAAGTATTAGTAAAACTAACATAAAAAGGTGATAAAATATGTGCGCTTGAATAACGTGAAATCAGTGATACATGGAAACGTTTTTTATTCATGATACATTCGGCTTCAGGCCAAGATGTGTGTGCCCCAGAGATATTTACCAAGTTTTATACGCAATCCCCGGGCAAATTTGTAAAGTTGCTAGCGTCAGTTTGGGTAAACCGGGAAAAGTTTATTTCGTTAGCCATTGCTGTCAGATACTCATTACGGCGTTTGTCTACTGATATACGTGGAAACTTTTTACAGAAGTTTCCCACTTTCATCATAAAAAAAAAATACTGGAAGAAGAAAATAGTTTATTAAAGAACCAAAAATGTTAACTGGCTGAACACAGCACGCAACACAAGCATGAAATAAAAAAAAACAAAACGTATAAAGTAAATAATAGTGATGAAGTCATCATTATCGGCTCACTATACGACCCCACTGAGGACCTCTACCTTAAGTCAGGGGTGACTAGGTGATAGTCAATCGCTGGCCTAGTGGGTTCGGTTGCTTTCAGAAATATCTTTACAACGAAATATTTAATGTATTTTCAATTATAAGCTAAAACCTAGGTTATTTTCCTTTTTGAAAAATATTAAAAAGTTTTTGTAAGTGTAAAAACAAATGACAATCTTTTAGATTATACACAATATCGTTTATCCAAGTTTATGTTGCGATTATCAATATTGTTGGCATTGCTCTATGTCAGGGGTGGCCAACTATATCAGAGACCTAATACACCAGCGATCTACTGTTTACTGACGATCTACCAATTACAAACTTTATGAAATCTTTTATGAAACAGCATAATACACAATTATATTATATTCTTTACTTTATAAAAAGAGAAATCCTAAAATTACAATTATTCTTAATAAATACTTACTTATATTAGTGTGAGCATTACATTTTCCGCTAACTTGTGTTTTACGTATTTATATTTTTTGCATATGATCGACTGGGTTGGTCACCCCTGGATAACAAACTTAACAACATGTTACTGTCTCTTTCATTCTCTTTAAATAAAGTTAGATAGAGTAAATACATTTTGGATAGTTGATTGGAAAGTGGACACCTACGGTTTGCTATGCCTTACTTCTTTACCACAATGCCTTGCACGGATACCATAAGTAACTCGCTACTACATAGCGTTTAATTAAGTGATTGGTCGTAAACTTACTTCCTCGCCGCATTCAGGTTAATTGAACTTAAGCATACAAACACTAGGGTAATTAGTTAACTTATCCCGTACTTTCACAATTACTTAAGGAAATAATTAAAACAAATGCTTACTTGACCATGTGCCCTTACGCTATGTTTTGCTAATATTTTACTGAATTAATAGTAACAATCTTGTAACTTAAACTTCGTACTAAGTGTACCTTTGTTAATAATAATAGCATCGTCTAAGACATCGTGCCCCTACAGAAAAGAAAAGATCCTGTAGAAAGCACTAACTCATTTTTCTAGCGATAACTGTGACAGCTGACTAGGCCGCAGCTATTCGGCCTTTCTAGGTATATACGTCTAACACACTGAACGTTATCCATTCTTCTTAAACATACTCAGATCAATAATATATACTATGACATACCAGCAATAAATATAACCCTAGTAATAATAAATAAGAGACGCTGGTGGGTGAGCCGAATATCATCGGAGAAGGAAGAGCTCACAGACTCCGATGGGACCACCTCATGAGGATGGAGGAAGATCGAAAGGCCAAAGCAGCATATCTCGGCACCCCGACTGGCCGCCGACCCATCGGTCGTCGGCCAGTCTGCGGGAGCTACAAGCGATGGACTGGCAGGAGAAGGCGCAAGACAGGCGACTTTGGCGATCTCTTGTGACGGAGGCCAAGACCCACTTTGGGTCGATACGCCAGCGGAGTAAATAAAAATAAATAAAATTCCATTGAACAAATTATCAAAAAACATGATGCAATAAGAAATTAAATTGATGCATATAGTATAGAGTTTCATTTTGCGTCGCAAACATCCGAGTGTTATCATTGGGTTTTACCATTTATTTATACCGTGCCCTTTAGAATGTTGTTTTCACAATAACTTATAAGTCATATGTTTCAAATAGCATCTGTTTATTCATTTATAAAGTAATGACATTGAATATAGATAGCTACAAAAGTAAAGGAAGACCAAAGAAAGTATGGATTGATTGTGTGTAAGAGGATATGTGTAAGAAGGGGATGAATTCAGATAGAGATGTACCCTGTAGGGATAAGGGTAGGTTGTTGATGAAATTAATAAATTCATGTTAAGTTTTTTTGGGTATTAGAAAATATTACAACAAAATTGCGACGCATCTGCGGTTTCACCGCTGTTGATGTCACCGCTCATTTGCCTATTATAAAATAAATAAGTCGTCTAGTTAGGCTATCTTTCTATTGACTTATTTACCATTAGTTTATATGAACAATATCTCTGTATAAAACATATCGCCATTCCTGTTGTATAGTATCTTCGACAAAATGGAGATAACAATATGTTTTAAAATTTTTGGTCTCAACAACCCACTGTAAGTATAATAAGTCAATTTAGTATTAATTTAGGTTACTTCCTATATTTCCTATTAAAATATTCGTTACCTTTACATAATAAGAATAAACAGTTATATTATAATTACGAATTGTTTTTCGGAAGGATTGATTAAAATTGTTTTGTCCCGTCTTCGACAAATGGCGTAACGAAATTTACCCCGAAGTTAATAATCATGTCGATTTATTTTCTTCTCACAGAATTTATTCAACTAAATACATCAAGGACATTTCAGCTTGATGATTTACTTTATATTTGTCGAATTTGCGATTGTTATTTGGTCAAAATTATTACGATATTACCGTATTTGTAAGATAAAATTTTGTTTTTTTTTTAAATTTGAATATTAGTAAACGAGATCAATGGCTATGCATACGCGTAATTTAATAACGCCTATGCAGTAGAGTTTGTGTGAACGATAACTGTTTCCGGTATTGAACAAAAATATATGGAGTGCACTTTCACATTAATTAATTTGTATTGTTTTTCTTTATTTTATTTCTAAACTTTTTAATTAACATTGCTTTTTACCATGTATTTGTAGATTGTAGTATACTTTTAGTACCGAAGTCTCAGCATTTATTGTGATTTTTTTTAAAACACCCAAAGATATTTACAACAACGATGTTAATTTAATTGCAAAAGATTTTCTTAGTAGATTTTTCGAGTATTTTAACTTAAAATTGTAGTTTAAAAAGTAAACAGCAATATTATTTTACTTGATGGCAACTCCATTCGTTTCTTATTCTCCATCATGACAAACAAAGAATGACCATCTCTTATCTTTCGAATCCTACATCCATTGAACTGACTCAGTGATGGCACAATTGTACACTAAAATGGTACATTCATACTAAAACTTAAGTTATAAAGTGTAAACGTTCGCGTTTCAAAATGGTCCACAAATTATTAAAATGTAAGCAAACATACATTTTATATTATATTTTAAGTGCAAATTTGTGTAAATTTTGATGTGTTAAAAAAATAAGTCGCTTATGAGATACATATTAAAATTGACGTCAAAGTGAATCGCTTTTATTGTGACGCTAAAAGTTTATACAAGTTAATTTTAATTGAGAAGCATATTATAGAAAGTCTGAAAGATATTCCATGTAAAATAAGAAATAATATGAATTAAACAATTAAATAAAGAGAGTAAATGTGGTTTGCAAAAGATATAAGTGAAAACAAAGAAAGCATTGACTGCGTGAAAGAGGTTTCGTATGAGTTGCGAGCATTTACATACCTTGCCCACCATGACTGCGGATAAGTGTACACATATTATTGGAATCTACTAAATTATTGAAACTAATGATCTATATTGTGTTAGGAAGAAAATACGACACTGTGCCAGTGTATCAGCGCAACACTAACCTTATTATAATGTCAACGTTTATGTCCCCTCTCTAATCAATCGGACACTTGGTAACGGAAGCCCGCCATTTGCGCCAAAGGATTCTAAATAATAACGTTTAAAAATTGATAATTTCAATTACTTATATCTCGTTTAATAATGTGGTTAATAGAGTGATGTTATAAATTAATTGTGTTTGTTTCAGATTTTGCCTGTCTCGTCTTCATCATACCTTCAGTTGTTTCTACAAATTCCTGCACTGTTGAAGATTACGTGGATGGTTGTAGATATACAGTTGTGTGTGTAAATTATTCAGGAACATCAGCAATATATTCTTGCAGTTCAGAACCGCATATTATATTCAAAATAAAAGGTTCAAGAAGTGAAACTCTAACTGCAAGTTTCTTTGGTGCAACTAACTTTGACTCGAGAGTACGTGAAATTAAAGCCATAGACAATGTTTGGAACACTATAGAATCATACGCATTTAAATATTACACTAAAAGTGTAAACGTTGATATATCATGTAATCACATCAAAGTAATTAAAAGTGATACGTTTAAAAATTTTGGCTATCTAAATTATTTGAATATATCTAACAATGAAATCGAAAGTTTGTCTCCTAATTCTTTAGCTCCAAGTTCTAGTCCAGATTCTGTACTGTTAATGCTGGACTTATCTTATAATTTGCTTAATAATTTAGAATATGGCGTTTTCAATAATTTTCCATCTCTAAGTACTTTATATTTGCAAAATAATAAAATACAAAATATATCAGATGATAGTTTTGCTACGTTGAAAAATTTAAAACAATTATATTTGCAACATAATGATATTGAAATATTAAACATGATGTTAATAAATTTGAAGTCTTTAAAAGAATTAGACATGTCTTTTAATAAGGTTAAGAAAATTTCCGGGTACGAAGTAAACCGTTTGATTGCATTGGAGAAATTGAACATGTCTTATAATTCTATAGAAACGATTGAGTCTAATTGTTTTAATCAGGCACCTTCCTTGATTAGCATAGATCTTAGTCATAATAGAATACTGTCAGTAATCGATGCGAAAATGTTTGACAGTAATATACATCTTCAATATTTTGATGCAAGTTATAACCAGATTAAAACAATTGAAGACGATTCGTTTAAAAATTGTAATCTAACATATTTTAATTTTGAACAAAATGTCCTTTCTGGGAATATTACGAACTCTACATTTACAGGATTTAATTTTGTTACACATTTAAATTTGAACAAACAAAATGTTACTGGCTTAAATGCAAAAGCTTTTTCTACTCTGAACATATTGATGTCTTTAAATTTAAGTTCTAATAATATTCAATATATTGATAAAGAGAGCTTTCAAAATTCTTTGAGCTTACAAATTTTAGATTTATCGTATAATTATATACCAAATTTAGATTTTGTTAATGGAACTCTATTTAATTTAACCCATTTATATTTAAGTAACAACAAAATTGTTTGCCTACAAGAAAATTTGTTTAAAAATCATGACCAAATTATAAAATTAGACTTATCGATGAATAAAATTATAGAAATACAACAAAATTCACTACCTTTATTAAATTTACAATATTTAAATATAACAGGAAATAATCTTGTTGGGACAATTGAAAAAAACACTTTTAGTCCTGCGAAATTCTTAAGATATTTGGATTTAAGTAATTTTAAAATAAATAAAATAGACGATATGGCTTTAGTTGATCTTCCAGTTTTAGCTCGTATGAATCTATCATTAAATAACATTGAATATATAGCTCCTAATAATTTTTATGGTTTGGACAATTTGTACAGTTTGGATATTTCTCATAATAATTTGAGTAAAATCAATCTATTTAATACTACATTAACAAATTTAAAAGCTGTATATTTACAAAATAATAATCTTAAGAAACTATCAAATTCATTATCAAATGCGAAAAATATAATTTATCTTGATTTATCATTTAATAATATATCTGATTTAAGTGATACAGATTTTGAAAGTTTCTCCAATTTACGTGTATTACATTTGGCTTATAATAACATTAAATTATTTAACGTTCCACAAATCAATGCTTTATCAAATATAACTGTTATTAATCTGTCACATAATAACATTTCAAATGTTAATTTAAAATATTTCAAAGAATTAAGAAGTATAGATTTAAGCAGCAATAAAATATTATATATAAATAACACATTTTTCAAGAACGTTGACAATTTAATGTCAATAGATTTAAGTAATAATAATATTATAAATTTACCACCGGGTACATTTAATAATATGAAAATATTAAAATCCCTAAACTTATCAAGTAACCATTTGAATAAATTACGCTACGGTAGCTTACAAGGATTGCATAAGACAGAAGTATTAGATTTATCAAGAAATAATATTTTCGATTTCGATGTTAACGTGTTCCATGAATGTAATGATTTAATAAAACTTATAATAGACTACAATGAGATAACTTCTGTAGATGTTGATAGTCTCACACATACTTTGTCTAATTTAAGAGTTCTAAGTTTAGGTGGTAATCCACTTCAATGCAAAGAAATTGTAAGAAATATGAAATTGAGTGTGACAAGATTACTGCAAGTTACATCTATTGATAAAGTTTATCATGAAGACAATGTGTACGGTATAAAATGTGGGGATGTAAAATTTGAAACGACTACTGCTATACCTAAAATTGACGACCGCATGCAAAATTCTTCTTTATCTAAAATTGTTTTGATTTGGTGCGCAGTATTGTCAATATTGATTATTGCTATGTGTGCAACAATATTTATATATAGAAATAGAAAATATAATATGTCCAGGTTGCATTTAAGACATTCTATAGAAATAAACGGTTCAGAATGTCCGAATGATTTGTTAAGTTAGTTTTAAAAATATATAAAGTCAGATTTAACTTTGAATAAAAAATTAAAAACTTTAAAGTTCTATGATTTCATCATCAGCTCACTATATGTCCCCACTAAAGGTCTCGGAGCCTACCTTAAGTTAGGGGTGACTAGGCCATAGTCAACCACGCTGGCCCAGTGCGGGTTGGTTGACTTCACACATATCTTTGAATCTCTTCTCAGATATGTACAGGTTGCATTACAATGTGTTCCTTCACAGTAATAACGTCGAATACATATGTAAATCGAAAAACACATTGATACATGGCAGGATTCGAAACAGGACCTGCAGATTGCAAGTCAAGTGCTTAACCCTTGGGCCACCGACGGTCTACCACTTCTCTCTTCTCTACCTCTTTGCTCTTCTTTGATTTACTATTTATTAAATAACTATTGGCTGCAACACACCACTGAATGCAAGATTCCTTTTTTGAATTTCTATATAAAATGTATTCTACGAAAAGAGTTACATCTAAACTAGAACCCTTGAAAGATATAACTCTTTTCGACGTATTAGTCAAATATTAAGACGTGCAGCGGGATGAATACATGGTGGAGTAACAATTACAACAAGTATGTGAAAAGGTTATATTTACGGTTATATGTGTGTTTATTTATTACATATAAAGTTAACTCATAATGAGGTAAATTGGTATCAAGGGTATGAATATATTAGATGAAAATACTACGTGTAAAGGTTCTATGATAATTCAGAAGGTTTATGCGCGTTAGCATAGCGTTGAGTACGTACATACATAAGTTATATTTAACTTTAAAACCTTTGAGGATACAAATAGGGTAATATAACAATATATGAACCTTATTTAAATTACAAATTTTGTAAGTACTAAAAGTCCTGGCGGAATTTAAAAAAATTGAAAGTAGCCTAAGTGTTCCTAAGTACTAAAGTTTGGATATATCTATGTATTTTAAGACATTATTAATTAGAATCCTTTGACGCGAATAACGCTCTTTCGTTACAAAGTATCAGAATGATTAGTGAGGGGACATAAACGTCGACATTGTAGTAAGGCTAGTGTTGTGCCAGTACACTGGCATAATGTCGTATTTTCTTCCTAACAATATGTATGGATGAGATGTTTGTTAGAAAGTATCTCCGGAACATCTGCATGGACCTCGATAAAATTTGTCATAGAAATAGAGCATAGCCTGAACACATAAGATACTTATATTTTCTTTAATTCCACCCGGAGAGAGTCGCAGGCAAAAGCTAGTAGTCTACTAAATATTATTAATCAATTTTAACAATTGAGTGAATATTCGCGACTGTATTCACGAGACAATACTCCTGATTTACTATTTACACAATCCTATCTATATTTTACCAGCTATATCCTGTTTGCTTCATATCGAGTCAACTGATAAAGGATAATGGACTCAATAACTAATTGAATAAAGCATAATATTGTATGTTTGTTCTGGAAACATATGGAATATAGTCGAGTAATTTCGAAGATGTTTACTGATATCATATGATTGGAACAAAATTGTTATAGATTTGATTTGATTGGATTATAATGAAGTGGATATTTGTTTAGTTATTTTTATGAAAATAATTGCTGAATAACCTGATTAATAGAAATGAATTAAAAGGTTATACAAGTTATATTAATAACTATTTAATCTATATTAATATGTGAGAATCATAATAAACATAGACAAACAGAAGAAAAGAAAAAACAAAAACATCGTAAGAAAATACAAGCACTTGATTATTTTTTAGGTTTGGAGAATCGGACTAAGCAAAAATCCGTTGTTAGCAGTGGTAGAGCCCGCTTTAACATCTTCGCGCGAATGCTCGCCCGGTGAAATACCACGACCACACAGAAGACAGGCGTGAAGTGGAAGCAATACCGCGTTTCGTCTGATGAGTGTGCGTCCCGGAGGCCTAATTTAGTCCACTTTCCCTTCCCACCCTTTTTCTCATAAGGAAAGGATGGGAAGTGGAAGTGGACTTTCCGGATCAGAGGATGCATGGAAGGGGAAAATGTTTTCATTCTGTGCATCCTCTCCTCCGTCGATTAAAGGTCGGCAACGCATATGCAATAGCGTATGTCTATGGGCAACGGCCATTTCGCTATTTCAGTGTTACCAGGTGGCCGCTCGCTCGTTTGCCACCTTATGATATAAAACAAATATGATATAAAACTGTGTCGAATTATTACTCCCACAAAACGAGCACACAAGTTCACTTCTTGACAGAGGTGAATATGCGTGCTAGACAGGTCCAGTTATTTAAAACTCAAAGTTTCTAGGTTTCAAAATTAGACAAGTTACGATCGATTTTGTAGATGTGTTCGAAAATCAAAATAGAGTCGTCAGAAATATCGTTGATGTTTTTAGTCCGAGTGATTCAACTTGGGTTGGTCTGTTGGGAGTCAACTTTGATGTTATAAAGTCTGAAAGTAAACTGCGCACTTCAAAGCTGGGTCCTGTTGTTGAAAATCTGATAACAGCTGCTGTTTGAATAACAGATGAACTTTATCCAAGCTGTACCGAAATTAATCGAGTAAATTCAAGCGTAGTACATTTAGCTTCGGAATATATAGTGAGTAACGAGTATGTATCTCTTAGAAAGAATGTTAAAATTAATTTTATCATGGGATTTGGAATATCTCATTGAAAACAGTTGAGAATCAATTAAGATTATAATTCCAAAGATTCTCTCAACTTTGATTCCAAACTTTAAGAACATTGTTTCGAACAGACTTTAATATAAAGAGGGCATCTTTAACTTTCAAAGTACTTTATATAGATATTCATAGCATTATGACGTCACTGTTGGGCTGTTTAATAATTGAAGAAAATGAAACTATTAGTAATATCTCTTTCCTGCTTTTTGCGTCGTTCTTCATTCATGTAGTTGTTGTCCACTCTTCTTGACTTATTTCTTACGATGTCACTTTTTTGAAACGTCCTTTGCAAGGTGGATGGCATTATGCATTAAGGTATGAGTAATTTTTATTTAAAATATAACGCAAATTGTTTCTCTTATGTCATATAAAAAAAGATAAGTTAAAATTGGCAAAGCATCCACAACAAAATGCACAAAGCGTAAACAATTCCTTTGTGCCAGTGAACTGAAAACGTGTGTATTTGTGGTATCTTCTTGATGAGAAGTTACTGAGAGGTTTAGCGAATCAAAGTAGGTCAGTCCGCTGGGAGGCTGCGATCGCTCAAAGTCTGAAAGTACGCAGACTGTACACGTCAAAGTTGAAACTTGAACACGAGAATTTGATAACAGTTACGGTTGAGGAATAGATCAACTGTTACAAAGTTTTGAGTTTATTAATTACAAAGATAGCGAGTATAATAAGCGGTAATCTTTACCTAAATATTATGTAGTTTTAGAAATTATTAATTAGAATCCTTTGGCGTGAATGGCACGCTTTCATTACAAAGTCCAGTGTCAGAATCAGTGAGGGGACATAAACGTCAATATTTTTATAAGTGTTGTGCAAGTACACCGGCACAGTGTCGGATTTTCTTCCTAACAGTAGTTAAAATACTTAATTTAATATATCTAACTTCGGAAAAAGATAATCATGTTAAGGCGCAATTTCATTAGTCGTTAACTCAGTCTAACGATTGAGTTATATTTGGTTATAAGGAAGTCTCAACTGCGGCCACTTTGGCATGCGTGAACAGGAAATTTCTTGCACGACGTATGCGCTAAGGACTAATGGTACTACCTCCTTACGTTTGTGGACGTTTGTTTCGTCTTTCACAGTTTTCATATCGTTATCATGTTCTAAATATATCATATCATAATATGTCTTTTGATGACAGTTTGCTGTAGTATATACGATCTTAAGTTGGCAGCGAATTTGACTGGACAGTCAGCACAAATATGTATACATTTGCAAAGATTCAAAAACCTTTATTCGTATTCTAATTTAAAAATATGTATGCTTGTATCTATCTGTATGGTTTTAAATTACATGCTATCGACGAATACGTGCATAAGTATTCCTAAAATAGAAGTCATGTACAAGTTTCTGAAGGTTATTAAATGTATACATATTTAGGCAGCTAAGTGTACATAAAGAAGAACACGAAACAGTAACAAAAGATATATTATTATACTTACTTTTGTTTCTGTTTCGTGTTATTCTTTTTGTACAGTCAGCTGCATAAATTAATTATATTTATCAGTATTTATTGTTTGGCATAAAAATGTTTGTTTTGCTTACATTAGTTTGATATAGTAGATTATTCGGAACAGGTATACATTTGAGGGCTAATACGATTACCAGGCTTGTCTTTGAAACGGCCGGGGCAAAGTATTCACGTGACTCGAATTCTCAATATGTAAATACGCGTAGTGTCCCGACAACATGTTTCTAAGTAGACGAGGATGGAATTTCGAAATTAGATTTGGCCAACGATACTACACAAAATTTGCGGAAACATGAAAACATCGGAATATTTGGGCAAATTCGTTTAGTAAACTGTTTGCTGAGTAAACTGACCTGCGAGATGTTGGACGTATCAGTTACACGAGATATACTTTATTCGTATAAAAATAATTGTATTTAAGTAGGCAGTTTCACTTTCAGTGTACACAGATATTGAAACATTCTTTTTAAAACAGAAAACAAATGACAGTCATAAAAAGAGAACAGTGATTCCATGTTCAAAATATAAACAGAAGACAGTCGTGAATTGGAAGGAATACCGCGTTTCTTCTGATACGTCTGCATACCTGCGTAATTTTAGTTCTATTTCCTTTTCCACCCTTTTCTTATGAGAGAAGGATAGGAAGGGAAGTGGATTTGATGGAAAAGAGACAGTATTCATTTTCTGTGTGTCCCTCCTCCGTCATCTGAAATTGCGGATGAAGATAAGATGCTAAGTCTCTTCTCAAATAGCTATAACGCATATTCATAAATAATGAACGGGATAATTCACCAGTGGTTACCCAAAGTAAAAATAGGCGAAATAGAGTCGTTTGCAAAGATTTGTTGTTTGTGTACTACTATCATTAATCATACG